ACTTGCCTGAATAACGGAAAAGTCTCGAGCGAGAGCGCAATTCCTGAATTCGGGGGCCTTCTTGGCCAGGGGCTCTCGGAGTAAACCGTGAGGAAATACCGAGCAGGAGCCCTTGTCGTCGTGGCTGGGCCTCGGACAACTTAATTGAATTGCGAGGAAGTCTCGAGCGAGAGCGACGTTCCTGGGTTCGGGGGCCTCTCTGGCCAGGGTGTCTCGACGTAAATTGTGAGGAAATATCGAGCGGGAACCGTTGTTGTCGTAGCTGGGCCTCCAAGGGCCCACATTCAGGCTCAAGCCAACGCTCGAGAGGGAGCCTCGTTTTCAGAGAAAATGTAGCCGGCGTCGAAGCGAGAGCGCGCGGAACCGTTTCCGGAGATCAACCATAATTTGTCTTTGGAAATGAAAATTAAAAACAACAACAACAACAACAACAACAACAACAACAACAACAACAACAACAACAACAACAACAACAACCACAACCACAACCACAACCACAACCACAACCACAACCACAACCACAACCACAACCACAACCACAACCACAACCACAACCTTAACAACAACAACAACAACAACAACAACAACAACAACAACAACAACAACAAGAGCAACAACAACAGCAACAACAACAACAACAATCACTTTACCCGAACGCTCAGTGTTCTCACCAGTGCCAGGGTTTTCATGCGACGCCAGCCAATACCCCCACTTTGTGGGGGGGCAGTGCAAGCTCTACCAAATATCCACACGACTCTTCGCCACCACCCACACCCAGCTTCCCGCCCTATGACGTTCGGACACTTCACTTCGTGGCCTGCGGACGACCGTGGCTACTACACTGGCGTGGAGTACACACCCACAGAAGTTGTTAAGCCTACGTTCTATTTGGAGATTTGCGGAAATAACATTGTTGAAAAGGATTCGGACAGCGCGCGCGGTGCAGCTGTTTTTCGAGGACCTACGGGTCGATTCGTGTGATTTGTATGATGCGCGGTGCTAAAAAATTCTTAAGAAGCCCAATGGTTTTTGGAGATTTCGGCGTGCGCGCGCGAAGAAAAAACGAATGTGTCCCGCATGGTATTATTTGACAGGGATGATGGCCCTGGCAGGTGCGCAACCGTTGTCGCAGAAGTTCGAAAAAGTTGCTCGCAAAAGCCCGTTTGACAGAAATGTTTAAAAAGTGTTGGGTTTCCTACGAATCCGCAAGAGCGCGCGGGATGAGATTTTGACATTTTTTTGTTGAAAAACCATTAGTTTTTTGATGTTTTTATGTTGAAATCGTTCCGAACACTAAGCTTTTGGAAGGATTTCGTCTTGCGCGCGCGAATGTCCACTTTACCTTATTTTTTGCAAAGGATTCTTGAAATTTGATTATATTAGAACAAGAAATGTCATTTTATAGTGTTTTTTGCAAGGGAAAGCGGGGGGGAACAAAACAACCGGATCTTGATCACATCGAATTACCTGAGGCTTCCTCACGAAAATGATGAAAATGTAGCTGCGGCCTAGGCGGCGCAGGGGGGCCGTGCACCAGGGGTCCCAACAATAATTATTCTTTAGAATTAATAATGTTCAACAACAACAATCATGTTACCCTCATGCGCGATGTTTCCACACGAAGCATGCGACCATCATGATAACCATCCCCAGCATTGGGGACCATTG